AAAAAAAACAGTAAATACGGTATTTATTTTTCATGATGTTTATTATTTAATATGCAAATGTTTATTTCTTATAAGAAAACATTGTTCAAAAGATGTGATTAGATATATATTATACCTAACATAGGGAAAACCCAGAGTCAAATTATAAAATTATTTCAATTCACTTAAATAACAATTAATATTATATATTTATAATTGAATGAAATAAACGTAGGATTTATTACATTGATAATTTTAAGTACATTTAATTATCAACTACATTGATTCAACTTAAATACTAAAATATTTAAAAACTTCTATCTATTTTCGCTAAATATACCATCGATGGTAAGTTTCTAGACTGAAAAATATTTTAAAATCTTAAAAAGTAAATAACATTTGTTACAAATTGTCAAAAATTGTTAGGCGTATTTTATATACATTTTAAGTATTACCTATATTTTATATTGAAATGTGATCATAGCATGTAGATATTACAACGTATAGCAAAAAATTACAAATTAATTTTTTTTAATGATAATAATAATAATAATAACAATAAATAATAATTTTTTTTTTTAATGGTTACATTAGCCAATACGTGGGTAATTTAAGAATAATAGGAATTTAAAGACAACTTTTGCAGACTAAAACTTATAATAGTTAACTGTTATTTGTTAAACAAAAAATTGAATATTAAGCTTTATATTATACTTAATTTTATAATATATTTATATTATAATAATTTATAATACTTAATATTTATACTCAATAATTTGCTATAGTTATTCTATTCGAGTAATTGTAAAAATTAAAATATATTTAACAATAAACGTTAAAAGTTTGTTACTTCAAAAATGATTTACAAGATAGTACTTACATTCATACAACTGAAAAAATATTAGTATTTTAATGTATTTACTAACGTACCTTATAAAACAAAATGATATAATATTCAACCACTTTAATGAACTTTATAAGAAATCAATTATATTTATAAAAGAAATAAAAATTATTAACACCTAAATAGCTTAGGATATGATCAAAATATGCTAAATATGATTAAAAACTATATTAATGGACAACATTTGACTTCCAAATGGAGCTGATTTACAAATTAAATCTTAAAATATTACTAGTAAAACAAGTATCTGTATTTTGTTTACCTTTTAAGAATATATAATGATATTATAATACACGATATTCATCGTTTCTTATACATTTTAAGTCATATAATTTCACAAAACAATAGCAATTTACAAAATATTAACTATATTCTTCGATTTTGAAATTATTGAAACATGTAATCACACGACAAACGAATGGTAAAACATAATTAAATACTGAATAGTCATTTAAACTGTTGAAAATAACAATTTCGATGTTGTAGTTAACAAATAATTTATAATTGAACATTAATGTTTTATGAAATCTGTTTTGTTAAAATAAGAACGCAATATGTTCCCTGTATTCCCCTCATATAATTAATCATTAGTAACTTATATTCTGTCATAACTTAGTTTTTTTGAAAACTTCATAGGTTAACTCGAAAAAAAACTTAAATAATGAAATAATCAATTACAAGCGCTCTTTATTTATGGTTGTTAAAAAACTATCTACCAAAGTACTTTCAGAAAGATTCTCCTAAAAATTAATCTTTCTTAATATTTTTGATCTCCATAATTTACGGAATATATTGAATAATATAAATTTAAATAAACGCGATAAATATTTACTGAATAAACATTTGTGTTATCAATATTTGTCTATATACGTAAATTTATTATGTTAATGTTCGTCGCTTATCAGGATTTAAAATTTATTGTTTGATAACTGTACTTTTAATAGATACAGATACTTATTTTGTTTAATATTAATTCTTATAATAGTTACATAGACTTGATTTCAATTTAGTAGTGGATAGATTCGATTAAATTTTGCTTTTCTCATTTAAAAAAATATGAACAATATTATAAATAGCTTATCTGTATAATCAAACAATGCAAATTCAATTTGTGAAATAATTTTTTCTTGAATATCAGCAACATAACTAAAACTGAAATCCATGTACAGCACTATATAACGTGAACTTTAACCTTTGTATGTGTCTAATAGTCTATAAATGTACCTATTAATTTAAATATTCTTAATATAATATAATATAATATTTTAGTTCATATATTATATATAGGTACGTAATAAATTAGTTGGAAATATAACTATAGATATTCAAATATAAATAATCAAGACTAGGATTTTTTTTTATAGCTATTCATTATATTACTATCGTCGATAAAAATTTAAAAGGAATTCTCATACCCATGTAAATAAATAAAACTAATAACATTTCAGGAATAACTTAATTTTGTTAGTTTGTTTTCTGATTGGAAGGACTAACGTCCGTGATTGAATTATGAATAAAAACGAATAGGTAACTACATCAATAAAAAAAAAAATACATTTGTCATTTTACATTTGAGAAATGAGAAGGAAAAGAAGAAGTATGAAGTACCAATTAAAAATATTCGGTAGCTCATATAACTATGTTTATATTATAATCACATGCAATCGTAACCTCGTAATTGTAAATCGTTTATTTATAATTTCCATTTTTTCTAAAAAACCAAATGCAATAATAATTTATAAATGACATTTTATTTCAATATCCAATTGGAAAATATATTACAAAACATTTGTTGAAAATCAATATGTTAAACTAAAACGTCGAACCGCAATTTTATGTACGTCATGTTTTAGTAAATACTATTATGAATGGAATAGTTTTTATTTCTTAAGAAACGTTACAGTTCTAGAGATTTTACGATTACTACGAAGTAGATGGATACACTATTTTAAAATAAAAAATAAATCAAAGGATGTAAAAAAAAAAAAAATGTGTAATTAATAAGTGTAAAACAGTATAAAATAATACAGTTGACTAATAAAACCGTTAAATTAAAAATAAAAATAAACAATTTTACTAGTAATTGACATTTGTGTCAAAGCATTGGATAAATAAAAACAAAAATTCGATTTTTTCCAGTAAAAATCGTTTACTAAAACCCTCGGGCCACGTGTTCTAAGTAAAATCTAAAACCTTGAAAATTACTGCGCAGTCAATTGATTTCTTCATAATACCAAAATCAATTGGGTATATGGTATACATTTCAAAAAGTAATAAATATTGTTTTTTAAAACTGAATAAATCATAAATGTGTATGTTTAACGAATTTCGTGATTTAATTTAATTGCTGGAAATACTATAACACAATTAAATTATTAATAAATATGTTATATTAACAATCCATTAGTAAATATTATTGTACAGTATTTGACCATAAATCAACAAACTATAAGACCTTGGATATCTACAAATCAAATAATTCCCGCTGTTTTGTTAAAAATAAATGTTATACTATATGTAATATATGTAAATTATATAAAAATACAATAAACATAATTCACATATATATTCGGAACATATCTTTGAATACAACAAGACTTCCAGCTATTAGAAAAATAATACACCAAACAATAACTAGTTTAATTTAATTTAATCTCATTATCGATAATAAATTATATCAATACTAACTACACGATATATTTATTATTTACATTATTTAATCGTACAGTGATATATTTGTATTTATTACAATCTACTATTTATAATGCTATCGGCAAATTAAATAACCTACATGAATTTAATTTCAAAAATTTTCTTCGTAGAAATCTGTCTATACAAATTAACTGTATTAAAATTATTAATGACCCGTCAACTATGAAAACCTCGAAATTAATATTGAATTAAAAGGTTAAATAATAATAAACTGCCGAGGTATGAATTATATCCAAACATTATTAACAGAATAGTATGCATATATTACATTAATACATTTCTAGTTTAAATTTTATGTAGCAGAACAATTGACAACACGCATATTATTATGTATAATGTGCACTTACCTAAATAAAAATTCGAATATTAAGATGTGCTTTAAATTATTTAAATCTGAACAGGTGTTAAAAAAATAATATTGTTTACCAAGTAAAATAATATAAAATAATGCACAATATCCACTAGATTTTTATTTGAACAAAAAAAACTGATACTTATATAGTATATAACCAATATTTATAAATATCTAAATAATTTATGGACCGCATGAGAGAAATTAAAACTGATTTTACAATAAAATGTTTAAAAACCAAGTTTCTAATTATTAGTAAGTACTTATAATTCGATATTGAATTACATATTAGTAACATTTTTTATTTTTATCTACTCGTATATTATTCAATAACAAAATTAAAATAAAAGCAATATTAGTTAAAAAAAATAAAACGTATTGATAAATAGGTATTTCGAAAGACGAACGATGTATTTTTTTTTTTTTTAATAGATATAACTAAATACTGCCCGATTTTATTTTATCCTTCAAACACTGATTATGTCCAAATTGTATTTGCATCGACTTTTTAACGGATTTTTAATAAGTAAAATATTCAAACAAGGTTTCGTTGATGTAAACGTTTTTCGGATTTCAATCAATATAATTTTAAATGGATACCCATGTACATTATATAAGAAATCAACCAATCATCTAGATTTTGAAGATAACACTTATCTGCTAGGTAATTTGTAAACAAAACGAAAAAAACAACTGATGCCAGATCGGTATAATGATATAATTAACAAGATGATAATATATTATATTAAAATGATTATCTCGAAATTACAAAATGCGATATTGTATTAATAAAATAATTGATTTGCTAACGTTTATGTTCACCGTTTACACGATTTCTGCACCGGCAATAGATTCGAATGATTTCATTCGTCGAAAATAAAAAATGTATTTAAAGCTCAAAAAAAGTTCAAATTCTTCGGCGTACAATTTTTAGAATATTATCTTTACTCCTTCGTACTTGTCGTTCGGTGAAATACATTTGAATAAATATTAATTATTCCGAGTAGAGGATTTAATAATTGAATCGTTGAATAAAATTAACATGTGTCTTACCTGTAACGGGTGAGCTATGCGTTCTCTTGACGTTGGCAACGTCCAGCGTGTCTTGTAACGGACGTTTCCTGTTCTCGGCCGCGTGTTGTTGTTTTTGTTGCTGTTGCTGCTGCTGCTGGGGATGGTGTAAATTATGGTGATCGCCGTTGGCCGACGATGTCGGGCACGCGTCCATCATTTTCACTTCGCCGGCGACTACGGCTGTCGGAAAGCAACGACCGCCGATCGACGGCGGTACCGCCAACGATAACGGCGACGATAACGACAACGAAGATAAAGGCGACGAGGACGACGACGATGTCGACGAGGGTGACGACGACGACGACGACGACGGAGGCGGCAGCGGTGGCGGCGGCGACGACGACGACGACGACGATAACAGCGGCGAACACATACCGGCGCCGGCCGCGGCCACCGAATCGAACTGCATCGCGTACAACATTCGCTGGCAAAAGTAATGGTCAGGCGCCGACGCCGTGGCCGCGTACAGCTCCGCGCCATCGGCGCCGCCGAACATACCGCCACCGCCGGCACCCGACTGCGATGTACCGGTCAAAAATTGCATCGCGGCAAATTTTCCACTCCTCCGGTGTATTTCAAAATAACGTTACGAATGATACGAAGACGTGTTAATACGATTTTGAATCGTTCCGAACGGATCGACGACGGCGGAACGTTAAAACGGAAACGATAACAGTGAAATAATAACGATTATTGTTTTTTATTTTTTGTTCCCTTCGACGGACGACTACGAGAAGCGATAAACAAAAATTGTTTATTAACAAACGTTTGCTGTTTTTACGACTTTTTTTTTTTATTTTTCTTAATTATTTTCAATACGATTATTGTTTTCGACTCGGCCGCGGATAACGGATCGCGCGCGAACGTGTCGTACTCGTCTTATCAACTGATACTGCTGCTGCTGCTGCTTCTGCTGCTGCTGTTGCTGGTGCCGTCGCGGTTGCTGCTGCGACGACGGTCGTTAGCTGTTGAGCGCGGTCAGGGTTAACACGTGTGCGCAACGCGAGTGTCCATGTGCCCCCGGGGGTCGAAGCGTTGGCCGAATCGTACGGTTACGGTGACTGTAAGCGAGTTAAACGTCGGCGGTGGTGGTGGTGGTGGCACGCGTTGGGGCCGGTTACGACCCGGTGACGACGACGACGACGACGACGACGACGACGACAGACGACGACGATGATAGCGACAGACGATAACGCGGGTGCATGCGAGCAGGCGTTGTTTAACGATTAGCAAACGCGACCGGTGTGCCACGGGTCCGCGCTCGGTGGCTGCCGGTCGACCGCCCGTGCCCTTGCCGCCAAAAGACCTTGTCCGACCCGCGCGCCGCCAGCTGGCCCCCTCTCCACAGTCCACCAACCGCTTTCCCTTCCAAGTCGCGCGATCGCGCGCGCCGCCGAAACCGCTGCCCGTTTAGCCCGTCTACGACTACTATACAAAGCAACCGCTGCACGTCGTCGGTCGTGTCGGTCGGCCGACTACGCGCGAGCGAACCGACGTAACAATTTGAATGTACATATTATTACAATATTTTTGAATGACGGTACAATACGTACACGGTGTGTTACCCGCACGTTTACGGCCGTTAAGAAAATATAAATAAAACGTGAGCGCTAATGAGACACACCAAACACCACGTTTTATAGGATACGCCGTGATTAGATGTAAAAACGTAATTGAATAGATAAATAAAAACGTAATGCATACGACCAGAAGTGAATCCCAACGACTTTCACTGAAACACCGGAGCTTTGGAACGGAACATTTGAAAAATTACTCTTAAGAATAACTTCAAACCCCGTAAAAATCTTAAGCACATGATATAATAAAATAATACGTTGTTTCAATAAGTTAATCATAATAATTTAGGTATTACCAGGAAGAAAAATTATATCAATAGTCACTAATTAGAAAACAAATGAAAGAACCTTTAATGTAATTTCAGCTGTATCGATGATTTCGAGAGTTTGAGGTTCGTGTTTCATCGTGACCCAGCGGTCTATTATTATTACAATTGTATGTTGAATATGATGATTTTCTATTCAAAGTCCTTTCTAATAAGAAAAACCTGCAGTAAGATCAACTAAACGACCCCAAAAATTACCTTTTTTATTACTATAAGCCCTCATTATAGACAGACCATATGCGGCCACCCTCACGGTACGTGGTGTAATCATAGTAATAAGAAAATATTTCAAATCATTTTTTTTTCTTTTTTTAATAAATTAAAAACGACAAAACTTTATTTGTGTATGCTCTTACAATACATTCTCGTTCAAATAACTTGTTCTCGATTAATTTTTTCACTGATTTTTCAAAAACATTTAAGACTGAATCGATTATCGTATGGACATCTAAATATTATAAGAAATAACCGCAAAGGCGCAAAATGTATAATATTAAGTTTTAATTACAATCGCAATTAAACGAAGACAACAGTGCAGAGACTCAATGTTATTTTTTATCCTGAACCTTTTTAAATGTCATAAAGTCACTCAGACCTTCGAAATTATGTATTCCAATTTTATAGGAAAAAGTTTTACAAAATCTATTCACGTATGGGAGTGTAAAAAAACATCACTCTAAACTAACGATTCCTTTGGAAAAAATGTCAACAGTGAATATACAAAAAATTTATTTATTTTCATCACATATTTTGAACGAAGTGAAATTATCGATTTGAAAAAGCTTCCCCAATGATTCCTAGTACACCCCTACTAATCTTACTTTTTTTTTCCGAGTACAGTGGAGTGATTACTCGAGAGCATTTTCAAACGCCTGGCTTTTAGCCTTGTTTTCGGCCTCAACGGTCTCGTTCCACATGGCAGATTTTTATTGCTTTGAGCCATTAATCTCTGCCATCGGTCGGTCGCACAGTACCGCTGTCTATGTGAAATATGTATCATTGTATCAAATGTGTCTAAATACCTAATATATTTCGTTTTATCGATGAATTTTATAACTATGGGTCATATTAAGACCATTAGGTGAATTTTCGAGTTTGTTTAACGTGATATTTTTTTTACACTGGCACACCTGGCCACCTCCGCGACCTCATTGAAAATATTGTAATGTACTTCCTGTCACACCTAATCGAACAAAAACTAATAAAAACATAGACATTTATGTAATATTAGACCTGTAAATCAAAATGTATTGATACTTTGATACATAATTTATACACAGTGGCGTATTTTCAAATTTTTTTTATGGGGGATTTTATATTTTTCTAAAAATGTTTATAATATAATTTAAAAATAGATACAAGTTATAAATTAACAATTGTAATATTCTACTATTAATCGTATTTATAGAAGAATTATTTATAATCGCATATTATAAATTAATGTTCTCTTTCTCTGAAACTTCGTAGCAAGTCATTTATGACTTTTGAACCTTATTTTCTTCTGTGGGGAGGTCGAGACCTTAGAACTCTTTCTCTCCCAAAAATATGCCACTGCATATATATGTGCGCGTGTGTGTGTGCATATGTATATATATGTGTATAGATGTGTATATATTTATGTATATAGGTAGAGTTGTCCGAAAGTTTTTCGGGACCAGGAGCGAATTGATATGGGGGCCCTTCGACTATAATAATAGGATATGTTAAACAAAATACTCACTGAGAACCACAAAATTCTTGCAAATGTATTTTTCCAAACTTTAGCCAATCAAGCTCATTTAAATTTATGCACTGAATTACATACTTACATAATCAGTGGTGGATCCAGGATTTTTTTTTTGGAGGGTTTTGAAAAATGTTTTCCCTTGGGATATTTTTTATAACATTGCAGTTAGTAATTGATAATGAATTAAGATAATAGTAATATAATACATTAATTTAAATCTTAGACAACTATTTTCTTGTACGAATAATAATACAAATTATATACTTTAAAAAAAAAAAAATATTTTTTTTTTTTTCATAAAATTATTGATTTTTAATATATATTTTTCCTGATTTTGGGAGCGGTTAACCCCCCTTCCCGTGGATCCACCACCATACATAATATAATTGAATATTATTTATAATTTAATCGCTCAATGTAATCGGAGAAGTCGCTAAACTCTCACACGCACGCGACTTTAATCACCGACCCGCAGTGTGTAAAATTGCTCTATGTTATAGAGGCTTTATTATTAATTATTATATATAAAGACTATAGGAGCCCCCTAAAAAATATTCCAACAATGGGGCCTGGGACAAAATGATCTCGTTGCCCCACCCCCTCTGAACGGCCCTGAATGAAAATGATATATTATAGGATACGTTTAATGTTTATTTATTTACAATTTTAAAAATATTTGATTTTGATGATAAATATTAATTCGTGAGTACAAAAAAATTAGTATAGTTATATTTGAAAGCACTTGAGGATTCTAAAAAATGCTTTTAATATAAGCTACCTTCACTTCATACTAATGAATAAACATTTTTCTCTATGGCATTATCAAAATTATCGGTAAATATATTTTAATTAATCAGTTTTCATGGAAATATTAAAATAATTTTTATAACGGTTAGGTATACATATATTTATTTTAACTTTCTAAATATTTTTCTAACAATTAATTTCAGATTTTCAATTACAAGTTGCTTAAACAATAAAAATGTTCATATTTTAATTTACATATACTTAATGAATAACGTCTAAGCGTTATGAAAAGATTTAAAAAATATTACATACATTAAAATTAAAAATTTTCGTTTCAACTACTCGTTACCGAACAATTAAAGAAATATGTATTATTATTAAGCTTATTGATTTAAAATCACATAAAAGTTAAAAATATATCTTCTAGAGATGGGTATGAGAAAAAAGATCTAAATTATCCGAGTATCTGGTTATTCAAATCAGGATTTACAGAAGTATCCGAATTATCAGGATTTATGAATTTGCTTTTTATGTAACTTATAATTATTTTTAATTGCTAGTAAAACAATTTTTTTTCTTTATTGTAACAACAAATTAATATAATATTTTATGAATTTCAACATATTTATCATAACTCCAATAGTTTTATAATTTATTATTAGTTACCAAATAACAATTTATTGAATTGTTGAATTTATTTTATACCTTTATGACTTACAGCAATAGCATGACTGAATATCCAATTAACTTATTTTAACTGTAAAACCTTTAAATGATTATTGAATAAGCTTTTCTAAAGATGAGTTAAATTTATATAACAATAGAATAAAGGAATGATACAATAATAATTGTAATCGATATAATTATTTACAGGACAAGTTTTCATATAATTATCAAATAAAAATTTGAGTCATCGAACAGAAAAATTGAATTGAATAATTCATAAAATCCGGATATGTCTATCACCAAAATTGGTTAGTAGTAAAATTACACAAGTAGGTAGGTACATTACAATTTTTATGTCACATAGTATATACTAGATAAGTAACTTTATTTTCGTAAAAAAAAAACAAGTAGGTAGTAAAACTATAAATTACATAAGATTTTAAGTTACTGAACAGAATAATATAGTACAGTAAGATATACAAAGGTGTGAGAAGAATTCTTGTACATCCATTATGAACCATATATGTTGTTATAAGTCGCATTCAAAATATGGTTAATTTATGGAGTCACGTACACACAATAAGGCTGAGAAATAGTAGTATAAATTATATAGAACATACAACTTAAACTAAAACTAAATACTTAACATTATATTACCTACGCCACATTTACTATTTAGAATACAAAGCACATATTACATAATATTATTTTAAACGAAGATAATTTTTTATTTTATTAACTTTTTAAACAATAGTTTCAATATTTTACCTAGAGCCAGGCATGTCAAGGTGGATGAATATTTGCAGGCCAATCGGCTTTGGTTAAGTTATTTCATCTAATGTCATCTATGTCACTAATACTCGAATGGGTGTTAATTCGAATATTTAACAATTTAACGCACTGTATTCCAAGACCTATTAGGTTAGAAAGCAATTATAATCAATATAGCATAACATAACGGACGATATATATTAAATTCGAGTGCTGGAATCATAACATAATAAACAAAAATAAATTTACAAATATTAAAAATTATATTAATATATAATTATAACACTATAGTTATATATTCTTATTCAAATGCATTTTTATTATCACATGAAAGGATAAATTAATAGTTATAAAATTGCATTACAAAATGAAACATTTCTTTTATTAATTGTATCAAACTAACTAGATCGCACTTACAATTTAGGTAAGTATCCATATTTTATATTATATAGTTTATTTTAATTTATACGTGAT